CCACTTGCACTTTTTAGAATAGTTATTATTCTGTGTGACAGACAAACTCTGTCTGTAAAAGCTACCTCAGATGTTTCTAGAAATAGGGGGAAAGCTGTTCTGTCCCCCCTTCTCCGCTCGTTAAACAGACGACAGGCAAACAACTTAAAAGGAACTCTCTTTATTAGTTCTCAGCTCTGACTGGCTGCGAGCCCAAAAATAACATAAATACAGTCTTTGACGAGATAACAGAATACTAAACAAAAACTCTTACAACGCAATGCACTTCTCCAAGTGTATCCTTGAATCAGGGTTACAGAAAACCAAGCACTTTTCCAAGTGTATCTTACATAAACTACGACTGATGATCAATCAATGTTGAACGAACCAAGGAACGTTGACTCCTGCAACTACGGCGTGGCACCATCCGTCCTTTTATCTCCAGAATATCCCCTAACGAGCCCCAGCTGCATAATTAATCTTGCATCCTGAAAAGACTCACAGAAGACGTCTGCTGAGTCACAACAGAAAGCTATTTGTAAAATATTTATAACTGCTATTCAAGAAGGAAGCAGAATAGCTGAGAGAACACCCTTAAACAGATTTTATTGCATTGAGATGGTATTCTATGACAAATATGGTTTTTCCTTTTTTTCTTTCCCACTGATTGCCCCACCCACAGCCCTGTCCCCTCCTCCTTTTGTATGCCCTAAATTTCTCTTCTAAATCTACCACACTGTTGTGACAGCAAACTTGTCTTATATTTAATCTTCTTCACTTCATGACTGAGGAAATTATTTTATTTTAATAACCAATAATAATCATAGGAGATTCTCTATTCCAAAATTAACTTTATTTCTCTCACTGTCTCAGCTATCCCTCAACCATTAACCAATATTCATGATCCACTGAGGCTGGAAACTATGGGAGATACAGTGTAACTATAGATTACTAAGCTACACCTCCAGTAAGGGATCAACTGACAACAGCGTAACCAAGTACCCAAACCAAGTACTTGGGCAAGAGTTATAAACCAGACAAAGAACCAGTTCAGTGACACTTAAGATTGACCTGTTGACAGGGTCACACACTAGAACAAGGGTTCCCAACTGGGGTGCTTGCACTCCCTGGGGGTGTGAGATGATATTCCAGGGGTTGTGAAAACCTGGGTTTAGAAGTTTCAAAATTATAGTTTATATGCATAATTATATGCATATAATTATTTACTTTTGAAAGAGGTGTGATAATATATCAGAAGCATTCTAAGGGTGCAGGGTATAAAAAAGGTTGGGAACCTCTGCACTAGAAAAAGTATGTAGGCAATTCACACACACACCCAAGCCCACACATGAACCAGCATATATACAACCCACAAGTCCACACTAAGGACCAATCCCCTTGTAAAAAGTTTTGAAACACCATTTTTCTCTCTGTAGATACCCCAAGAACAAACTCCTTTGTTTTGGGGAAATAAACAGATCAACCTCCTCTCCAACAGCAGTGTGTCTTGTCTCTCTGCTCGGAGAAAGGGACCCAGGAAAATTCTTTTAATAATACTTGAAAAACATTCTAGTTCTTGCTTGATTATTTGTTCAGGCTGCTAGAAGATGTGTCTATTCACTTCAGCCATGTTTTCATATTTATACATTTAAAGAATATGGAACCATGCTTTAAAAACTTATGTTTATTTTAGTCTGCTTTTCCACTTAACTGCTTAAAGTGATGAGCAAGTTATCTGAACACCATAATCCAGTCATCATTAGAGGACGAGGCTGAATCCAAAACATCCTTAACTAAACTAATTTCTCCTATTTATACATGTTATACAAAGCCAGAAAAGAGGATTACCAGAAAGGTGAATGTTCTTTCTGCATGGAGAATGAACTTAAAGCAATGGGGTAGAACTAGGAGCCATGCAGGACCCTCCATCACTCTGATTATTATATTTTCACACACACTCCTTGTAGCCAAATGAGGTAGATCTATAAAATATGAGAAGAAAGGAATCTTGATGTGACTATACAGACTTTTTATTTACAATAAAAACATACATGCACTTATATATCTGGCAGACTGAAAACTTTTTAGCCTACTACTTCCTACTAAAATGGCTGTCTCTTTTAAACAGAGTATGCTGCTTCACTGCTATACAAGGATATGAACAGACTGGCTAAACTAAACCTAGCTAATAAACCATTAAAAAAAAGCTGGATCCACTATCCAGACAATAAAATACAAATGTTTTATTCAAAGACTAAGCTGCAGCTGCCATGTTGGAGTTAAGTATATTGTGTCTTTATGTCCATAAAATGTGTCTTTCCCTAATGACTGAATGAAAAGCCAGATGTTCCCTTTTAGAAACTGACATAACTAAGGTTAGACCTCAGGACCATATTCTAGAGAGCTCTATCTTAGCCATCCAGAAAGTAGATACATAAGGGGACTGAGAGACAAATATATATAATTGTCTGCAGGACATCACAGACAGGACTGGTCAAGATTGAGAGGCTCCCTACCTTTATTATTATTATTATTATACAATT